ATATATATATATATATATGTCACTCTAAACATCGAGTAATCATTTGGATCAGCATCATTACCTTGCCACCAATCACCTCTTGTGGCAGCACCCACATTCCCCAATTCTGTTCCTTCATGTTTATACTGGAAATATGTTCTTTAAACAATGTTACTATTGGACATATGGTACGTATGGATATGCTTCGCATCGGTGCTTATGTGGATTGCAATTTGATGAGACTTACGCTCTTAGAAGCTTCAGAGGTATGGATGGAGGAGGGCTAACATAGAAATCTCGGCCACCATAATGCACGGATGAGCCAAAACACGACGACTCGGTGGATTCGATCGGATGGAGTTGCTTCACATCCCTTTCGTTGGTGCCATGAGATCAGCCATCTGTAGACTGCAAGTGTTAGAAGGTAAAGGTACACATTCTCTGTAACACATCAGAAGATGACGTTGAAGTAACACTATTGATTAGTCCCACGTCGAAAGTGGATAAGATTAAGATTGATTTATAAGGATCTGATGAGTGTATTATTATCAATTTAAATATTTTGATCAGTGATTTAGATCAAACGAAATTGATAGACTAATTAACCCATCATACTCGAGTCATGACATCTTTGCCCTCATCTCTCTCGTTCTCTTTTATGCCGTCCCCCTAGCAGCAGCTGCTGCTGCATCTCATCCCAAGTACATTCCCAACACTTGTAATCCCACACAACTCCCGAAATCCTACTCTCGGATTACGAACCAATCGTTGTCGGCTTCAATTCTTCGTGTTTCATGTTTTGGTGCGGGGAGGATAAGAGGGAGTATGATCGTATTCCTCGTCATCCTTCCACGTCGACATTGGCATCCTCGCATGGCAGCACCTTACTTTGGTCTCTTATGTCTATCTACTCACGTTAAGAAAAAGGTTAGTCACCATAAATCTCTATTACAACCGATACATATTATCTTATTATTGCTATCAATGAAAGTATAATAAAAATAAATAATCTTTAAAATTAAAATATGTTAATTTGCTAAACAAGATTTTTAAGATTTACATAATATTTTTGACACCGATATATAATTATAACACCCAATCAAAAGAAAATACGAATAAAAAAAAATCTAAAATTTATAGATACAAAAATATTTATATGTTAAAAGTAGAAAAGAGATATTTACGTTTGCAACATTTTACATTATCCTCTTAAAAGTAGAAAAAAGAAAAGAGATATTTAAAAAAAATTGAAGAAAATTATATTTACGTTTATGTATGAAAGAATAACTTTAAAATATTTAAAAATTAAATAAAATTTTAAATAATAAAAAATAATAAATAGTGATCTCTTTTCTTTTTCTAATCCACCATCGAGCTCATAAAGTTTGTTGTTCCACAAATAAAGAACACCCTCGTGTTGTACTTATATCTCTATTAATATCGACTATAAAATTATATATATATATATATATATATATATATATATATATATATATATATATATATATATATTCTTAACACCTCAGCAAATATAAGCAATTATTGTCAACCAAATGACTACTAATATTACAACAGGAACTACACCAAGACAACAAACTATCATCTCATTCGATCCTTATCGAGACATGTTCTATTGAGGCCTAACTATTGTTGGCATCATCCAAAAATATCTCAAAATGTGAGGGTAAGGCAGCACACAACCTCGCATTAGAAGAATCCGATATCCTTCAAACTTTACCCATTCTTTGGTAGCCAAACCACCAATCATGGATGCATTGATTGATGGATAATGGTGGGGGCTCATTTTTAACATGATTGTAGTTGTTGGTGCATGGCCATCACATGGATGCATATCATTTCGTAATCAACAATCTTTTCAAACATATTTTTATTTTAAATTGATTAAATTATATATATATATATATATATATATATAACTTTTTACAAGTTTTTTCTTTTCATCTTAATAAAATAGAAACTACCAACTTTATTAGATGTACTTTAGTATAGTCTTTGATAAGTTCATGCTAAAACAAGATATAGTATTTTTGATTGAGTTTTTGTGGATTAAGATTTGACCAACTTTGTTATTTCTTTTAGATGTAATAATACAAAAAAAAAGTAAGATTTAACTAATTTTATTATTTTTAGATTTAATGATTAAATTAATCGTATAAAGCCTTGGGTTAGTTTCTCTCGAGGATAGATCACGAGTGATTTATCGTCTTGCATGAACAATATAAAATGATACATTAACCCTAACAATATTTTCAATCTCCTCTTTTTACTTTGAGTCGAGAGAATCTCAATTCAACCTATATGAATTAGATCGTATCTTTATCTTCTATTTTTCATTGAAAGATTCTTTTTATTCTCGCATCTCAATCTCTTTTCGTTCATACGAGTCATCAATATGACCAAATATACGAGACTCTCGTCGAAAAAGATAAATAAAATATAACTCAGTGGGGGTTGTGCCCAATAAAATCACCACCTTCTGCCCTTCATTGGGTTAGTGCAGCAGTCAATAATATAACCACACAATTCCAATATTTCCAGGAAACAAACATAAGTTAATCACAAGGTCTTAAATCATTCTTCACAACAAATCTTAAATTACTCCAATCTCTCCAACCAAACCAACATAAGTGCGGTCCACAGTAAAAGTAGTAAAAGCATGTCATCCACTTCCAAGTTGTTGGGACTCTCATTACTGCTAACTCATGACAAAAGAAAGCTCAAGTTGGATTAAAGGAGGGCTTGACAATCAAATACAACAATACAGTGGTAGAGTTAGGAGATCCTCCACTGAATCAATCAACTAAAGTTAAATTATTGCACAAAAACATGATTTTTCTCCTTTATATATATATAACAAGTTGGATAGGACCAAAGAAGGATGATTGTAAATAACATTATACTTAGGAAAGCAACAAGCACAAGGTAGGAAAGGTTGGTGAAGGAAGCCAGATATAAATAATGGGGAGCAGTTGCAGGTTCCTTGGAAGCTTCAGAGGTAAGAAGATGAGTCTGCAAAGGTTTCACCGCTTGATTCTGCTGCTCTTGGTCTCTTCCTCCCTGGTTCACATCTCCCTTGCTGCTGCAGAGGCTGCATCAATCCCCTTCACCAAACAAGAGAGTAAGAGCGGCACAAAACCCATCCCCTCACTGATGCTTGTTGCAGAATGACATGAATGAGGGATTTCTATGATGCTTTCTGTGCTGCTGTTGACTGATCTCAGGATATGTCAAGGTGCTGGAATCACTGGGGATCAAGTGCCAGTGTTGTGATGGGGATGATGGTGAGTGCAACAGCAGCTGGGACACCACCTGCAGCAGGCTGGACTGCCATAACATGAGATTTTGACGACTTAGGCAAGAGACTGATGTTGTATGTGCCATCTGATCTACTCTCAATAACATATGGGTGTTTTAGGTGATATCATAGATGTCTCCACAAGTGGGGATGGTAGTTAGATATAACTGTAGTAATTAGAGGTCATCTATGCTGATGTTAATATGTTATATTTAGTCTCATAACAGTGGAAGAAGAGTTTTGTCCAATATAATATATTAGTGATAGATATAAAAATTTTTCGATAGTCATACATATTTATATATTAATAATTTTTTTCTTTTTCAAATGATAAGTGACGCAAGTAGAATTAATATTATATATTAATATTCGATAAGCACTTATTATATTATTAGATACGATTACGATATTTAAGATGTATTATTTCTTGAAGATCATTTTCCTCCTCCGAATCTTTATCGATCAGGTTAATCGATACCTTCTAAAATATATTAGATACGATTTCAAATCAATCTTTAATAAATGATTTTGGTACATCATCATCAAATCAATGTTCAATAATTATTATTTCTCGAAGATTATTCTTCTCCTCCAACTCAATCATGAAAGCAAAAGCAAATATCATGTTTAAAAAAATTATTGTAGTAACCTATCTAAATGAAAGGAGAAATCAAACATTTAATGTTTCTCATATTTAGAACAATAATAATGGCATTTATTGTTAAGGTTATTGACCAGTAGGGACGAATCATATGGTGTATCGGCATTCAAAGATCGACTGGTGTTATTGGAGTCCTCAAAAACCCAACTATCGATCCGAATCCGACACGACGCGAATCGCTCTACGTCGATGCATAAGCTTGTTGGATATGGATTCGGATTCTGTCGGATCCGCATCCTAACCGTTTTAGTGAGCCTATTATGCGGTTTGCTTTTATTGACGTGGGTGACGCGCACCGGAACGAACCGATCTCGGGCGGTCTCTCCACTTCCTTCGATCGGATCTCGGAATCAGGTATCCCTCTCTCTCTCTCTCTCTCCGAATTCGTTCCCCTTTCCCCTCGATGCCTCCTCGTGGAATTGATTTCTGTTTCGATTCGTCGGAATCGACGTTCGAGCCCGTTGTTCTTGATCTCCTGGCGTTCTTTGTCTTGCTTTGGGGTTGATTTCGGTCTCAGTTCTTCGGAATCGACGTCGATTTGGGTGGTTCTTGGTTCTCAGGGTGGATCTGATTCAGACTGGGGATAGGGAGGAGAAGACGGTGAAGATGGCGCACCGAGTGGACCACGAGTACGATTACCTCTTCAAGATCGTCCTCATTGGCGATTCCGGCGTGGGGAAATCCAACATCCTCTCCAGGTTCACCCGCAATGAGTTCTGCTTGGATTCCAAGTCCACCATTGGCGTCGAATTCGCCACCAAGACCATTCAGGTGAATTGCCTCCAATCCCTGATTCTTCTCCCCCGAACTCTGTTGTCATCACTCTTGAGGGTTATCAGGATTTAAGTTACCCCAAAGATTTTCTTCCTTCTTCATATCTTTTGGCGTGCATGCTCAACCCCATAAATCGCGTTAGCCGGAATGACCCAATTATTTGGGGTCTTCTACATGTATCTTTTCCTGCCAATGATCTCATCACATTTCTGATACCCCTCCAAAAGTAGTTTGAGAAATAGCTTTGCACAAATTATGTATTACATGTTTTTTTTTAAATAGTTCCGACTTAGTTGTTGTGTGATATAATATTTTCTTCCTTTAGAATATGCCAAGACTATGAATTTCTTGAACACTCCATGATCCGTTTTTTGAATTGTAATTAATGTACATGATTGTGGCATTATTAATGTAGATAGATGACTTGTTACCTAGATTTGCATAGAGAAGATAATGATTGGATTGGAAGGATTGAAGTAACTTTTCATGATTCTACTTATTGGTTGAGCGAGCAAAAGAGAACTTGCACACCTGTTTGCCATTCATCAAGTCCAACTTTAAAGTTACTATTTTGCCATTGCGGACTCGTTGGAGTATTTCAAGCATGATTTATGTTGCATCTTTTTGAATATTTGTGTTATTTTGCTGGACTGGACATTGCAACTGTCAATGGTAAGCCATTTTGTTTTTGTTCTAGTCCCTGAACTAGTGAAATTGGTGTAGTTTTCCCTTGTTCCGCTAAACCCACGTAGCTAGCACAAACAGTGATTTACAGAATTTATAGAAGTCTTCTTTTCTATTTCCTATTTGATCACATGAGTTGGTTGCAACAGCTTGGACTTAATGCATGTATAGTTGGCTGCTGATGGAGCCATTTTGCCTCATCATACTTATTCCCATGGGGTCGGAATGGGCAGTAAAGAGAAGAGGAAGAAAATGGAATATATTTCATACATAACATAGGAAGCAGGAAACAGGCATGCGTGCTAACCAGGCAAACTTTCTAAGAGGCAATGATGCCTAATGCAATAAGGTTTAGCTTGCATAAAAGCCTATTTTAGGCTTCAGTTGCCATTTGCACCAGTAGTAATCCTTTGTTTAGAAAAATCATCATACTTAATCTCAAAGGTGGATGATGCTTGTTTCCTTTCTTTGATATGATCGCATGGCGACGATTTGTACCTTTGTGTAGTTAGATAGATAGGTGTTAAATTTTTTGTTATGTAGGTACAAGCTGATATATCCATGTAACTCTTAAGCATTGGCTGGTTATAGTACAATACCCAAAAAATAGTTGAAGGTTTCATTGTATATGTATTTTGGTCACTAGTTATTTGAGTATACCACCCTCGTAAATATACCTGCTTATTCATTTTGGTACTTCCTGTCGATGTCTCACTTCAAACGTCCTCCCAGATTCTTAGGCCATAAGTGAAATAGGCTTAGGTAGATGCTTCATGGTTTTGGAATCTCATTACATGCAATCTTTGTACCCCTTTAGAAGGTGTCAATATATGTTCTATGTGTATATATGATGGTGTTCAATGTCTTTGGAAGTAGCAGTGAAATGGTGTATCTGAACTCAAGAGGTTATTTACTTTACTATACTAGTGGAAAAAAAAGAGGTAAATATTTAAATAGGCTGCTTTCGTGACTTGAACCTTGGTCTCCTAGGTCACAACGGAACAACATTACCATTATACCAAGACCCATCCTCTTGCTTTGCTATACTAGTCAAATAAGAATTTTTTTCCTCTCAAGTTTTGGTTGATTTGTTCGATGTTACTTAGAGCATAACTCGATGGAATGAACAGATAGAGGGGAAGACGATCAAGGCACAGATTTGGGACACTGCTGGTCAAGAGAGGTACCGTGCCATAACCAGTGCGTACTACAGGGGTGCTGTAGGAGCACTCCTTGTCTATGATATAACAAAGCAGAAAACTTTCGACAATGTCCAGAGGTGGCTTCGCGAACTCAGAGATCATGCTGATTCCAACATCGTCATCATGATGGCTGGTAACAAGTCAGATTTAAGTCACCTAAGAGCAGTTTCGGAGGATGACGGCCAGGTATTCGCTGAGAAAGAGGGGCTTTCATTCTTGGAGACTTCGGCACTAGAATCACTCAATGTCGAGAAGGCGTTCCAAACGATTCTTATGGAGATTTATCACATAATAAACAAAAAGGCCCTTGCAGCCAAAGAGGCTGCAAGAACTGCAGGACCCATAGCTCAAGGGACAAACATCAATGTATCTGATCCAGCTGGAGGCTCAAAGACTGCTTGTTGTTCGAGATAGATGATTGTCTTTTTGGAGAGTGCTTTAAACACAAAACTTGTTCGGTTCTGAGGGTCTTTAGAATGAAAATTATTTGTTGATTATTTTTCTACTCTTCATGTGTGATTTGGAGATAGTGAAATTAGATTTAAAGATGGGGGCGACATGTGGTAGTGTGCAAATTGTAATTTTCTTGTTATAACTTAAATCTCCCTTTGTGAAGGACCCAAAAAATTAAAGCTGTGGTTCCATTTCTGTATATTTCAGCCTAGCAACTAAAAGGGAAGGTTACTTTGCAGATTAATGCACGATTAGTTCTGGTCAAATCACTATGGCAAAGTGCAAATGCTATGCTTGGATGGTTTAGCTGTACTTACAGCACAAGGCTGATTCATCATTAATATTTATTATGATTTCGAGTAAAAATCATCTTCCCTGTGGGTTGATCTCATCATTAATACTTCTAAGCGTATCGAGAGAATGCTGTGATATTGGAATGCATAACAAGCATCAATATCTGTTAGACTGGTTCGATTTCCTAAATCTATGATGATTTGATTTCCTTGAGATATCAGGATTTGATTGCAGGTAAATTTAAGATTTAATTGGTTGTATTTCCTTAAAATTTCTTGATTTGGTTTTCTTATATTCACTGCTGGTTTTCAGTATCGGCGTCTTCTTGCCAAGCAAGCAGCAGCAGCAGCAGCAGTCCGTCTTCATCCCCGCCACAGTCGTACGCAACCACCACCCTCAATCGACCGAGACATACTTCTCCTCCTCCCTCTCCCATTGCCTCTCGTCTCTCCAAAGCATCAACATGTTAAAATATAATTTAAATAAATTTTATGAAACCGAGCTAAGTGAAGTCGGCTATTAGTATAAATTTTGTTTTGTAAATTGGAGCTGCAAATATTGATTGGCAGTAACAAAAAGGAAGTAAAAGAAAGTTGGTGTCAGCAAACGTTGAAGATGACAGCAACAAATGTTAAAGGTGACAGCAGCAAATGTTAATGAGTTGTGTTTTTGTGTTTGTAACTTGCATGCCAGAAAAGTTAAAAGGAATTATATGTGAGACATCTATTATATCTTTTCCATATTGATTTTTTTTTTCTAATATGTTATTCCCTTGATGCCGTTGACCGTGCAATCATGACGGCTTGGTTCGATCTCAAAGGCACAAGCTCGTCTACGGGACCCACGAGGGGTAACGAGAGGAGATTGAAGCGGGAAGCAAATTCGATTGGCACAATCTCGAGGTACTGCTTGTTCGCTAGAGGCAGATTTGGTATTGTTCCGAAGTGTACCTTAGCCTCGTCGAGATCCTTGGCAATAGTAGATATGCACGTCTCTTTAGGCTTTGGGGTTGGTTTTTATACTTGAGCAATCGGTGATTGGTTAGGGAGCTCCTCACATTGTTTGGAAGTTTATTTATGTCGACGACTGATAAGCACTCCTCTCTGAGGGTAGCGTCAGGGAAGGATAACTGCATGAGTGTCATTTGTCAGGGATGGAGCCTGTCTGAGATGAGCAGGAGATGGTCTCCCGTGCCAAGCATATGGAAAGAGGCAAAATGAGAACTGGGCCATGCCACTTGGGATTAAATCCCTATGTAGTTGGACGTGCGAGTCTTCCTGAAAGATTGCTTGTGATAGGTGACACATAAAAGGGAAAAGGGAGGGATGGGCCTTGCTGCATTGGATTAACATACCCTGCGGCTGGCTCGTGCGATCCTTCCGGAGATCGAGGTGGGCAAGGGTTGGAGGATCATGCTCCTACTCACGACTGCAAGGGCGGGGCACGGGTTCTTCCACCCACGTCATCGTCTCATATCGTTACTTTCCCTATCATTCGTCCTCCTTGGAAGATATGTTTTGGGGCACATCATTCGGCCATTTCATTCTATCGGGGTCGGGTCTTGTTAAGCCTGCTCAAATGATAAGTCATGGTTTAGGTTTCATGAGTCTTGTTCATCTGTCGTAGTAGGTTTTGGGCTCTGCTATGGCAGGCTTCTGTCGTAGCGGGTCTTGTTCGTCTACTATAGTGGGTTTTGTGCCGCTATAGCTAGTCTTGTTCCATTGTAGCGAGTCTTGTACCATCGTAGCGGGTCTTATTCCACCATAGTAGGTCTTCTTCCATCGTAGCAAATCTTGTTTCGCCGCAATAGCTTCTGCCATGGCGAGCTTTCATTCATCCATTGTAGTGGGATTTATGGTTCCGTTGTAGTGGGTCTTGTTCTGTCATAGCGGGTCTTACTCCACCATGGTGGGCCTTCATTCATCCGTCGTAGTGAGATTTAAGGCTCCTTCGTAGCGGGTCTTGTTTCGTCATAGCAGCTTCCACCGTGACAGACTTTCATTCGTCCACCATAGTGGGATTTAGGGCTTTGTTGTAGTGTGCTGCCATCATAGTGGGTCTTGTTCCGCCGTGACGGATCTTCATTCATCTACTATAGTGGGCCTTCGTTCATCCATCATAGTCGGTCTTGGCTGGCCATCCTGTCATGATGTGATATGTTCAGTGAGCTTAATATATTATATCTAAAGAGGAGATTAGTGAATTATGCTTGTCATGATGCATAACTTTCACTTTTGGAGAGCTTAAAGGGGATTATAATTACAAAATTGATAGATATAAGTTATGTAGATTGAGGTAAACTATTGTTTCCCAAGGAAATAATAATTGGAGTGTTAGATGTAGAGGAGAAAGACACAATGAAAATATGCTATGATCTAATAAGAGAAATCCAGAACCAAGTGATGGTCTGATTTGAATGCATAAATGGCAAAGATTTGATCTATCGGAGGAGTTCAGATTTGAGAAATGCACAAGGAGCATGGTAATCTATTTGATTTGAGATATGAAAAAAGTACAAGGGAGGATTTGATTTGAGATATGCAAAAGAGGGTAATCTATTTCGTTCTTTCTTGAGTCCTCTCGATCGTGAGTGCTAATGGCGTAGTCAAAAGGATAATGGTAAGTAATGGACTATCATCGAGAGGTCGACCATGGATCTAAGGTGCTAATGAGTTTGACGGTTGATGAGAAGGAAATGAGGATACCAGTGAAGATGAAGATGCTGAGTGGTAATTAGGAGCAGAGGGAATATCGGCCAAGTAGAACTATACAAAGATAAAAGATTGCTAAAGAAGCTAGTTAATCACGAGAGGAAGCTGATCAGAATAGTAAAATGAAGTAGATCTATTGAAAAATATATTACATAGGAGATTAATAGGGAAGAGTCATGGATCTTCATCTTCAATACAATGTCAAATTTAAAAAATAGGAAGAGTTGTTGTTTAGTCTTCAATACAATGTCAAATTTTGAAAATAGGAAGAGTTATAAAACAACAACAAGAGTAGGTGATGAAGAGAAATAACTGTTTGGTCCTCATCATATGATCAAATCATACATTTAAATATGTGATTATTCTCAAATCATAAATTGATTGATAATTATAATATATAAGAAATATAAAAAAATTATAATTGTCATTCCATATCTGTTTATATCGTGTGATAGATTATATCGTGCTCTTCTATCACTTTTGAAGATCCTTTCCTCCGCCAATGACAGCAATGCCTCACCGGCGACGTCCTTGGCACCAACTCCCACGGTGCAAGGACGTCGTGACGAAAGGACCTTTCCTCTGCCACGGTAGCGCCACCTTTGTCGTGCAAGGTGACAACAACCTCGTCCTCTACAACAAGGGTCCCGGCTTCCAGTTCGACACCCACGGCGATGGCGTCAACTGCACCCTCTCTCTCACCGATCGCGGCCAGTTCGTAATCACCGCTTCCGACGGCCTGCGCGTGTGGTCCTCCAAGGTCCCCTACACGGCTAAGACGGGAAAGCACGCCGCAGTCCTCCGCCCCAACGGCCAAGTAGCCGTCTACGGGCCGGCCTTGCGGTCGACCCCCGACTTCAACTTGAGCGCCGCCGGCTCCAGGGGGCCAGAACAGACCGCCCTTGGCAAGGTGGAGAACGTGCTGTTCTCGTCCCAGATTCTTGACGAGCAGGACAAGCTCGCGACCAGGGACTACACCCTGGTCATGAGGGGCGACTGCGACCTGGCCCTCGTGAAGGCCCCTGCCATCGTCGCTTGGCAGTCCGGGACGGTCGGCAAAGGCGCCCACTGCTTCCTCCGGCTCGATCACAAGAGGCCAGCTCGCCGTGGTAGACGGCCATAGCTACAAGACTCTGTGGACTAGCAAGCACTCCTCGAGCGCATGAGACTATGCCGCTTATCCTCCAAATCGATTGCCAAGCTGTTGTCTACGGGCCTCTAATATGGTCAACCTCCTCCTCCATAAGCTGATCCGCCATTACGGCTCTCCCCTTCTTGCTTGCATTACGACAGCTTGTCTTCTATACCATTTCCGTAGCCATAAAAAGATAGGAACGAGTGCACGTCTTCCCGCTGCGCTTGGACAGGACCGGGGCCCAGTCTCATCCTCGTTAATGTGGGACCCGCTTGCTGCTCCTTTCGGCCCACCAACGAGGACGAGGAAACACAACCGGACGACCAATCCACATGGGCCCACAAAAAAGTGCAGGGGCACTTTTCCATGTGTTATGTCTGGCAACAGACAGGTGATCCGAGCCCATTCAAAAGTGAAACACCTACTAACTGATATGCAAGCTTTGTTCATCTAACGGGGATAATATATCCTGTTTGAAGCGATTCAGCTGATTGCCAAACGCACAACCATTCCCACCTTTTTCTCCTCTCCCTCCCCCGACATCGCTCGCAGTGCAATCTCTCCTTTTTCTTGCAGAGGAATTCGAGGCAGATCGCTCGCTGCGTCGAGTAGAAAGCGAGAGAGAACGTGATTTCAGCTGCAAAATATAGATTGGAGCAAGAAAAAAGATGATTAGGTCCAGTAGTACGGCTTAGATTGGGTCCAAGAAAGGGGAAGAGTGGTGAGGAGATCTAGGGTTTTTCAGCGGAAGGAGGAGGTGGAGATGAAGGTGGTAGTGGGGAGCCCGGGGACTTGGAGTGGGCTACTACTGAGGACCGGGCAGTGCGTCTTTGCAGGGGCTTCCATTGGGGTTATGGTCTCCGCATTAGGGTTCTCCAACTACACTGCTTTCTGGTACCAACTCGTTCCTTTTCAGATCTGTTCTTTTTCATTATCTTTGAACTCCATTTTGGTTGCATTATGGAATAAGCTTAAAACCGAGATCGTGCTTTCTAAGATCTTTGTGATCTAGCATGAACAGAGAATTTTAGTTGAGTGGTGTCTTGTCCTCATATTGTGAGGCTAAAAGGCTTTGGATGTCTTACATGCATTCTTGGCAATAATCATATACCCTATAGAATTCCCCTTCCCACATAATAAAAAAAATAAATATAAATAAAAATATCTTTTTTCTTAATTTGAAAGTTTATTCTCAAGAGCGATTCGGAGCTGCAGAGAATCCAAAGTCCAAAGTATTTAATACGAATTAGGAAAAACACCAGGCCTTTCATTTAAAATTTACTCGGGAAATTCACCACAAGATAGAAAAGCATTCTTCTTTCCTTTCTTGTCCTCTGTGAACTTAGACAATATTGAACTTTAGTAGATAGGTTAAAGATAAAAGCCTAAGCTTGATAAGAATCAGTGGAAGATCTTGGAGGTAACTTTCCTTCTTAACCTACAAATGATTTCATGATGCGAAACTCAGTGGGTTGGAACATCTACCTGGATCAAAAATCCAGTCTCTCTGTTATGAGAGTCTCTTCTTGAAGCATCAATCGGGCATCATGAACTAAATGTTCAGATTGAATCAGAATTTTTCTTCTATATTACCGGCAAGCATGGTTAAAGCTGTGATCAAAGAGAAAACCTAGATGAATGTTAGAGGTTTCCTTTTCTTACATTATGCCTTGTTTTGTCAGTCTTATCAGCTTCCTATAATAACTTTAATTTTGAAGAAGTGATGAAGTTCCCATCCAAATGAGATTGAACTTTCCTAACTTAGTGCCAGTTGGTGAATGCATCATTCCTGATTAAGAAATGGATCCAAGTCTGCAATCCAATTATGGTTTTTCTTGGCTTTCTGAAATTCTCAGCATTCTTTAAAATGCCAATAACATATTGACTTATTCCCTTAAAATGACAAGCTTTTTAAATAGTACTTGAATTTCAGGCCAAGTGAATTAACAAGTTCTGAGTAAATCTGTAGATAATTTCATGTCAATGCTTGGTTTGACATACATAGAATATTTACACATGTTTTTTTTTTTCTGTACTGATGTTTTGTAGTGCCTTTTTCGCTCAGCTATTTAATTGCTTCTATGGGGCTACAAGTTTTGTGGAGTTTGGGACTCGCATGCCTTGATGTCTATGCCCTAAAGATCAAAAGGGATCTCCATAACCCGGTCCTAGTTAGCTTGTTCGTGGTTGGTGACTGGGTAATCATTTAATCCTATCTTTAGTTATGCATGCATACACAGTTGAGTTGCTTAGTCGAATTTGATTGATGTCTTATTAAATTGATAAAGGTTTTGATTGGACCAAACTTAAGGTTCTTATGAAATTCTTGATTTTTTTCTATATGGTTCATTTTTCTAATTATTGCTTAAAATATGCTGCACATCACGACCATTTAAAATTTTTATTTCAGTATTATCAGATGACTGACCTAACTGAGTTATTGTAAGATTTTGTTATTCATTTTACATGTTTTAGTAGATCTTTAATATTTTAGGGACCACCTTTAGACTTTTCTATGAACTCACTGTGCTTCTATGATTAAAATCTTAAAACTTTTTTACATAAACTATCCTCTTTCAGGATATCTCCCATCATGCTATATATAATCTTCATCTGATATGTGACATGCCAGTTACCCTTGTGTGTTTGTATGTGTGTCATTTGGTTAATTCAGGTTTAACAGCTAAGTTCATTTAAACTCATTTGGAAGATTCAGGCTTAAAAATTGAAGTTCATTAAAGACATGCTTCTATCAAGTTTCGCAATCACAATTCGTATCCTGTCAGCTTGAAGAAAAACATAAGGGAAGTTCATATATAACTTTTTCCAGAGAATAACAGTGAAATATCAACTCTTCCAAATTGGAATGCTATGTGTATCATTCTTTGAAACTATTCCTCTGTGCACAATCTTCTTTTATTCTTGTTCAGATTCTTTATACAGCGCACTTAATGGTCTATGTAAATCTTGAAGGCATCTTTTTTTGTCTACCGTTCACAATCATAACTATTTTTCATAGAAAAATCCTAGCATGTAATCGATCGATCTTCGCTATTCCAGGTAACGGCAACACTATCACTTGCAGCTGCATGCTCCTCAGCTGGTGTCACAGTATTGTTTGCGAGGGATGTGCACTTCTGCCGAACAATTCCTCAGTTCTCATGTGGCAGGTTCGAAATCTCCGTCGCTTTTGCGTTTGTTACATGGTTGTTGATTTCCATGTCCTCATTAGTGATGTTTTGGCTCCTGGCATCAGTATAACTGTTCTTGTATGCTTTTCTTCATAGCAAAAGAGAAGCCAAAACTCATATGTAAGCATTTGTTTTCTCCCTCGAGCTGTAGCAATTCGAATGTTTCTTATGGACTCTGTCTTTGCTTGAAGTTACAGTTCTTTCAGGTTTCCACTAACTACCCTACCGGTCAACTTAATAGCATCTGTTGCTGGCAAATTACTTCTTTTCCACATTTTAGTGAGCTGCATGCTTAATTCAAATCATTTTGGGCAAAAATTCTGACAGGTCT